CCAGCATTCAGTCTGGGGACCAAGAGCTCCTGTTGTTAAGGCCAGCTGTTTCTGTGGGTTTCACCAGCCTGGTCTCGACACCTTTGCTCATCATTCGTCCTTCTCTGAAACTGGATTCCAGTTCAGTTTAGTAATTAGTTGTGGTGTCTGCTTCTACTTCTACCAGCTGCTGCATGAAGGCTATAGGATGGCATATAAGTCAGTCATCAATCTCATTATCAGGGGAGGGCATTTAAGGTAGCCTCTCCTCTGTTGCTTAGATTGTTAGTTGGTGTCATCTTTGTAGATCTCCAGACATTTCCTTAGTGTCTGATTACTCTTTAAACCTAAAATGTCTCCCTCTATTATGATATCTCATTTCTTGTTTTCTTCTATTCATTGCCTGACTCAACCTTTCTGCTCTGTCATGTCCTCCTCACCCCTCCTCTTCTCCCCTTCTCATTCTCCTAGCTCCCTCTCTGATTACTCTTTAAACCTAAAATGTCTCCCTCTATTATGATATCTCATTTCTTGTTTTCTTCTATTCATTGCCTGACTCAACCTTTCTGCTCTGTCATGTCCTCCTCACCCCTCCTCTTCTCCCCTTCTCATTCTCCTAGCTCCCTCCCCCCTCCTTCCATGCTCCCAATTTTCTCAGGAGATCTTGTCCCTTTCCCCCTCTCCAGGGGATTATGTATGTCTCTCTTAGGGTCCTCCCTGTTTACTAGCTTCTCTGGCAGTGTGGATTGTAGGCTGGTAATCCTTTACTCTATGTCTAAAATCCACATATGAGTGAGTACATACCATGTTTGTCTTTTTGTGATTGGTTTAGCTGACTCTGAATGGTTTCTTCTAGTTCCATCCATTTTCCTACAAATTTCAAGATTCCATTGTGGTTTTTTTTCTGCTGAGTAGGACTCCATTGTGTAAACCTACCACATTTTCTCTATCCAGTTGAGGGGGCATCTAGGTTGCTTCCAGGTTCTGGCTATTACAAATAGTACTGCTATGAACATTGTTAAACAGATGTCCTTGTTGTATGAGAGTCTTTCTTTCCAATTAGTCTAACATATCAAATTGACCTAAAACCAACCAACACACATAGCAAAGGTATCTAGGAAGAAAAAGGAATGCAAGAGGTAATAGGTTCTAGGACCCTATAGTAGTGGAGTTGCTGTGGGCTTTAGCTTTCTCTTGCCTCTTATCCCTACTGCTGATCACTTCAGTTGTGCTAACTTGTGTGGCTGGCTCAGCACCTGAAGACATTGCACACAAGGGTTCTGCTTCTATTCCTTACCTGACATTCTAGGAGGAGGGAATGAAAAATCCAAGACTCCACTTTACAGAACTGAGAACCCTTGTAACCACTCGATACCTTGGGCTATATCAAGTACATCCAAGAAATTTGAAGTAGCTTATTATTTGGGAGTTTAAATTATATGAAAATAATAGGCAAGTGAGAAATAAAAGCCTCTTGATGAATTCAGCAGCTTACGAGCAAGATATCTACTATAAACTTGTGTTGAAAACAACTTTCTCCATTTTAATTTACAGAAAGTGCATTTGCAATATTCAGATTTAATCATAGAAATGTGTGGGAGAAAGTGATTTCCATCATACTCTTTATCCCCTACCTAAAGTAAATTGGGGTCAAAGGAATGAAGATGTAATTAACTACTTGAAATAGGGCAAAAAGAGGCTAGTCATTCACTGACTGAATAAGGATGGATGAGCTAGCTTTTTTCTCTTGGATATTTTGATTATAATACAGATATTAGCATTTTAAATGGAAAGGAAGGGGCATATAGATATTTGAAGTATGATAATTAAAGGGAAAATTAGCATCATCACCTACTACCCCAGGTATGCAAGCTATCTCTGATTCAACACATGAAATTCAATCCATAATCTAAAGAAGAAATGGGGTCATGCCAAGATATGTAGAAAAATATTTGACAAAATCCAACATCCATTCATGCTCCAAATCTAATAAACTAGAAAGAGTTGACAATATCCTCAACTTGATAAAGAATATGTCCTCAAGTGGAGGGGTAGTCAAATGGGAGTAGTCAAATGGCTACAAATGGGAGCAGTCAGGAGATGTTGGTCCAACAAGACTTGGTCCTAAAATCTTACCTACACAAAAGGAATAAGTTAATAAGAAGAATTACATTACATAGGGACAACCATTAATAGCATGTATTATATTCTGGAAAATGACCAAGAGTAAACTTTAAACAAAAATGGTAAATATATGAACTAATAAGTAATAGTAAACAGTCTATTCACTGAATAATGTATTATTTCAAAAGGTTATGCTATAGCAAATCTTTGCATTTTTTCCATCTGTAAATAAATTGGAAACATGAGAATCTACAAAAACCTTGAAAATCACATCATCTCTAATGGTGATCAATGTGGAATTTTCTACTAAATCAAGAAAAAGGAAGGATATCCCATCTTCACCCCAGACTTTCAATATGGCTGCATGTACTAGCCAACACAATAAGGCAATAAAATAGGATTGCTTGTACTGAGAAGGAAGAAATAAAATTATCTGTTTACAATTACATGATTGTGTACCATGTCTGAAAGAACGGATGGAACAAGAACAATGCAAGCCCTCCTGCTGAAGTGATACAGCAGGGTTGCAGGACAGGAGGGGAATTGAGTGTGGCATTCTGAGTCAACTGCTTTATTGCCACCGGAGACAAACAAATGGAGGTACCATTTACATTAGCATCCTCAAACTGAAATGCTTGGTATAAATCTGACAAAATGTGTAGAAACATCTAGAGTAGGAAAACCGAAAGATACTGATGGAAGAAACAGAGTTAAGAGGTAATTCATGTTCGTAAGTGCAAAGATTCAGTTTGGTCAAAATGTTATTTGACCTGACCCAAGTTGATCTACAGATCTAGTACTATCCCAATCAGATCTTAATTTAGTATATTTGTTTTGCTGACATTTTCTAAAGTTTGAATGGAGAAAGAACAGCTCTAGAATAGATAATATAATGTGAAAGTACATAAAGTTAGAGGACTATTCCCCCTCACTTCAAAGTTTACAACTGTGAAAGTTCCTGAAAACACACACACACACACACACACACACACACACACACACACACACACACACACACATCCCTTGCTCTCAACTTTTGCAAGGTTAATTAACTTATTAGAAATTTAACAATGTAGAAAAGTTAAAAGGTTGTAAGTCCAGAGCCAAATTACATTGGGCCATCTTAGGCCCCCTTCATAGCCTTTTATTGACCTCCTCTGTGAGTGATCTAACAACTTTGTAGCCATTAGTACATCCTTTGGAATGTACACAGCCCATTCTCCATAGCCAAAGGGCTAAGGATGGCATCAGGTGGCATCTGAGGCCTGAGCTAAGATTTCCCTTCACCTCTGTGCCCCACCTACCTGATGGCTTCTATCAATGTATTTTCCAAATGTCCTAATTGTTACAATGTTAAAATGTAGGGTTTGGAGGTAAACAGAATCTGGTTTCCTGAGCCACAATCCCTCATATTTGGCTCTTAAATCGACTGTTATCTCGTTTGAGGTGAGAGATGTGGTTTAGTGAAAGAATAGACATTTAGACAAATAGAATATACTAAAAAGCACAGAAATGGACCATAGTGTTTAATTAATTGATTTAAAAACAGATTTATTTTATCCAATTAATTAATTTACTTTTACTACCTATGTGTATGTTTGTATGTCATGTGTATGCTGGTTCCTGAGGGGCCGCTCTTGTGGACCTGAAGACATAGGTAGTATGAGGCTCCTGACAGTAGTGCTGGGAATTGAAATTTGGTCCTCTGAAATGCCTTGTAACTGCTGACCCATCTCTCTAGCCCCTAGTTGGCTGATCTTTGACAAAGGAGTTAGGGCTTTGGAACAAGAATCTTTTCAGTAAATGATGTTTAAACATGATATCTACATGCAAAAAGGACACATAGTAGCTGCAAACTGCTATGGTTTGAATGTGGCCTCTAGATTCATGGGATGGAAACAGAATCCTCATGCACCAACTAGGGGAGGCCAATCCTGACTGGGAGTTTGTAGGTGGTCATAGCTCCCCCTGGATGAACATACTGCCATTATGAAAGGTTCTTGAGAGAGCCTTTGCTCTCTCCATCTCTCTGCCCTTCTTCCATGTGATGCCCAGAAATGCAGCAAGAAGCTTTCCAGATGATGCCACTGTCATTTCAAACTGGTCTCCAGAACACTGGGAAATAAATCTCTATAATGCATAAAATACCTTCAAGTTAGCTGCTTCGGCAGCATGAACTGTGTTATGATAAAGACCTCACATCCTTCGAAAGGATCACACACTTAAGCATAAAACACAAACCATAACATTGCAAAAGACAACACAAAAAATTATGTGACCCAGGGTTTAATAATGACAGAATACAACACCAAAGGCACAGTGTATGAAAGTAAGAGTTGAAAGCTGAAGTTTGTTAAAATTAAAAATGTTCTGTCAAAGACATCGTTGAGAAAATAAAAAGACAAGACCCAGACGGGGACAATATATGCACAAGGCATGGTTATTAAAGGACTTTCATTTAAAACACACAAAAAATGTTTTAAAATAAGAATAAGAAAGCAACCTGATTGAAACTCAAATGTATATTAGTAAGTGAAAAGAGCCAATCTTGAAAGACAGTTTACTACATGATTTGAACTCTGTGACATTTGGGGAAAGAAAACAGAACAGAAGCCATGACATGATCAGTAACTTCCAAAGAACCACACGGTGGAGGCAGATGCTCTAACGGGAAAGTGAATTTTCAGCAACCCTGCCGTGAATTACAATAGAAAGTGCTATACCATTTAAGTCTGCTTCAAATGTTAAATTTTTATGCTGTTGTTTAAAAGGTAACTCAGCATGATTTTCTGTGTCCAGTAATAGGATTTTAATGAGTGAGATGACTTAAAGTTGATTATTTGCAGTTAAAAATCTCAAAGTCTGAAGAAATTGTCACCTGGATGTTTAATTTCCAGGTCAGACGTTGCCATTCTGTACAATGACCGCTCGGTGCTTGAGAACCACCACGTGAGTGCAGCCTATCGACTTATGCAAGAGGAAGAAATGAATATCTTTGTAAATTTATCTAAAGATGACTGGAGGTGAGTTTCAGAGAAAACCCAAGGGAAACTGACCCTTAGGAACAATGTAAGTTATGTTATTAAAGTGAGGAAAGCAGGTGAAACACCAGGTTTCTCCTTATTACAAGCTCAGTACCTGCTGAGTAGATGCTCTTAGGAACAGGCCTTTGAAGGCCCAGTCGAGGCATGGGTCTTGTCTGCTAGACGGATAACTATCTTCAAATTGATGTGGTGCCCACACAAGTGTGTAAGACCACATCTCATACCTCAAATACCTAAGGACATTTGTAGTGGAGCTTGGATTTTATTTTTATAACTAATACGTAGCTTATATAAATTCCAAATTTTAGCATCATGTTCATTCTTCTCTCGAGTTAACTTTGCTGTTGTGCAGCTTAGCTTTAAAAAAGTAAAAACCTTCATCTATAAACAAAACTTACAACTATACTAACATGACCCACAGTGTGAAGGAAAATACTGTATGCTTCTCCCAGGACTAAAATGTATATTAATAACTTTCATTGTCTTTCTGTTGAATTATTTTTTTTTCTTTCTTGATGTTAAATCTTGTTTATTCAGCGGGATGGTGGTGGCCCTTGCCTTTAATCCTAGCACTTGGGAGGCAGAAACAGGCAGATCTCTGTGAGTTCGACACCAGTCTGGTCTATAGAGCAAGTTCCAGGGAAAGTTCTAAAGCTATAGAGAAACCCTGTCTTCAAAAATAAAACACAAAACAAAAAAACAAAAACCAAACTTTTTCTTTCAGTATGATTTTTATTTACTCTAGTTTTTTCTTTGTCATTTTATTTTATGTTTCTCTTCAGTAACTTCAGACATTTTTGTATTATTCAGTTAGCAAATAGTATAATAATCACTTAGATTGTAAAATTTAATAGATTTGACACTTTCTAATCACCAACAAAATACCTATTTACTGATATAACACCAATATAATATTACTGAGCACTAAAATCTGGTTATCTTGTCAAGGACCTGTGATTTTTCTGCTCTCAATCTTTTTTTATCAAAAATAAAAGAATTGCTCTTTTTATAAGAATATTTCACATGTGAAGCTGTATTTCTCTTGTGTAACAATTTGACTATTAATATAACATCTAGAATTTATCAAGTATTTAAATGCAAAGCATAGCCGGGTGGTGATGGTGGTACACGTCTTTAATCCCAGCACTCATGAGGCAGAGTCAGATGGATCTTTGTGAGTTCAAGGCCCAGCCTGGTCTACGGAGCTGGTTCCACTACAGCCCCAGCTGTTAAACAGAGAAACCCTGTCTCAAAAACAAAACAAAAAGCAAACATAGCATATTTATCACACTGTATAATTTCACAAAATTTTTGTCTCAATCTACTTAGCTAACAAAATGGTTTCAAGTTGATATTTAATGTGAATCCAGGTAAAAATTTCACTAAAAACTGTAATTGGGAATAATTTTCTTAACTACCTTCAATTCCTTTATTTACCTGAATACTTGGGTAAATTATTCTAAGCAGGCTGTCCAGTATTAGAAATGATAGCAGAATACTGACGTCTTGTTGCTTTCACCTAAAATAAGGTTGAACTGAGCACATGCAATTTTCAATAACAAATTCTAATATATTCCTGTTTTGAAAAATAAATCACCTTTTATGTAAAAAAAATTTAGGGAGGTGAGGTTTTTTTCTGTGTAGTAATGGATGTCTAGGAACTTGCTTCAGAATAACCTTGAACTCAGTTACACCTGCCTTTGCCTCCCAGGTGCTCAGATTAAAGCATGCATCACCCATCACCACAGCCAAACTAAAGATATTTTGATTCAAGATCATAGTTCAAGTTGCTCCATGCTTTGCTCCATAGTGAAAACAAAATATAATTGACTTGTTGTCTGTCTATAGAATCCTTAATAGAATAACTCGATTCTCTACTTAGAATGAGAATGTGTTACTCATACATAGGCTTTGTGATATGGTCACTGCATTTACACTATAGCATCTTGGCTAAAAGTTTAAACAGTGCCAATGAATATGTCTATGCTATACAGGATTGGATACCCAAAATTATCCCTTCTCATTAGCATCTGGACTTCTCTGAAGTGCCTGTGATGGCTGCTGAACACTGTGAAGTGGTTAAAGGGCCAGCTTTTGGAGTGGGAATTCTGGTTGAATCTTATCTCAGGCACATCCTAGCTGTATGACTGAGCATATGAACTCTCCTCTGGAGGGAAAGATTAATAGCCCTTTGCAGGTCTATGACAGCAATTAGATGTTTAGTGTACTGACAAAGGAACTACATGGTCCAAAGTCTATACATAGACTGGATAAATACTACTGGTAAAATGAGGAAGTGTAGGAAGGACCTTGAGAAACCATGCTCCTCTATGTCGCTTTCCTGGGGGCATTAAGCCAACCAATTTTGCTGGCCACATAGATTTAGAATATTCTCAAGCCCCATTGATTAGATATCTTACTTCTAAAGCATTCAAATGTATATTTAGGGACAAGGGTGATGGCTCGGTTACTAAAGCAGGTACCATGCAAATACAATGACCTTAGTTCAATCCCCAGAACCCATGTAAAAATGCCAGGTGTGGTAGAACATGCTTGAAATCTTAGTCGTGGGGAGGCAGAGACAGCGGGATGCCTGGGACTTGCTATCCAGCCTGCCTAGCCTAATTGTCAAGCCCCATGCCAGTGAAAAAGAGTATTTCAAAAAACAATTGGACAGTACCCCTGGAAGTCTGACTTCTGGCCTCCACAGGAAAGTGTGCATGCGCATTGCCATCTACTTGTATATGTACCCACACACATAATCATATTTATAACAATGCTTCCTTAAAATGTCCAACTATCATTTCAAGTAAAAAAACAAAAAACTAGACTTAGTAATTATAAGTTGGCATGAAATGTGATATACAAAGGGAAAGCATCACATTTCTAAGGAGAATTTTTTTTTTTTTTTTTTTTTTTGGTTTTTCGAGACAGGGTTTCTCTATGTAGCTTTGGAGCTTATCCTGGCACTCGCTCTGGAGACCAGGCTGGCCTCGAACTCACAGAGATCCGCCTGCCTCTGCCTCCCGAGTGCTGGGATTAAAGGCATGCACCACCAATGCCCGGCCTCTAAGGAGAATATTAAGTGACATGTTTCTTCTTCTTCTTCTTCTTCTTCTTCTTCTTCTTCTTCTTCTTCTTCTTCTTCTTCTTCTTCTTCTTCTTCTTCTTCTTCTTCTTCTCCTTCTCCTTCTCCTTCTCCTTCTTCTTCTTCTTCTTCTTCTTCTTCTTCTTCTTCTTCTTCTTCTTCTTCTTCTTCTTCTTCAAATCCTGAGTGTCAATGACTAAAACAATGTCCAAACTCCTTGAGCACTATGCCATTTATAAGGGGACAGCTCTGTGTTCATAATTGTTAGGAAAAATAGTGTGGTCATTGATATTTACAGAAATGCCTCACTCCAAGCTAAGGAGGTGTCAAATGAACCATTCTCCTTCTGATGCCTCTGCAGGGATCTTCGGAACTTAGTGATTGAAATGGTGTTATCTACCGACATGTCAGGCCATTTCCAGCAAATTAAAAACATAAGAAACAGTTTGCAGCAGCCTGAAGGGTAGGTTGTTTTCTTGTGTCATATTCAAGTTCTGGGGTCTTGGGCTTAGAAAACAGTAGGTGATTATTTTGTTCTGGTAATTTAAACATCTCTTTGGTTTGGCAGGATTGACAGAGCCAAAACCATGTCCCTGATACTCCATGCAGCCGATATCAGTCACCCAGCCAAAACTTGGGAGCTGCACTACAGGTGGACCATGGCCCTAATGGAGGAGTTCTTCCGGCAGGTGCCTTTTTCACTGTGCTTTGTTCACTACTGTGAATATTGACATTACTTGTTTTTGTTTTTGTTTTTTTTTTTTTCAGAATCCAATGCTTCGGACTTTTATTTTTAATTAGTCAAAGCACACAATAAGGGTGCTTGGGAGAATTTAGTTATGTGTTAGAGAAATACATTAGATAACTCAAACTAGTACCAAATGTCTTTTAAAGAGATTGATGCCTCCAACATGAGAACATGGCAGTCAGGAAAAGAAAGGAATAGAAAAACAGGTTAGAATTATTATGTTACTAAGAGGTTTGAGATTGGAGATGCAAATGGCTTGCACAATGAAAAGACAAGGGGAGGATACACAAACTTCTATGTTTATCTCCCTGCTCAAAATCTAACCCCATGTGCAGCTGCAAAGGAGGCTGAGGAAAATGAAGCTGAGCAGACACATGCCTGACTGAAACGAGTATTAGCCTGGAGGAGAGGAGAGCCCTTCTCTCCACTGCAGCCATGTGCAAATTGTTTTCTGGGCAGTGTCCCTGCTCTGTCTAACATCTCCAAATCTAAAGTCCGGATACTGTAGTGTAAATGTGACGCTAACTACTCAAGACTGGCTTAAATGCCGCAAGTTAAAGCCCCAGCCTTCCAAAGGATAGGCTCCGCTCCAGACTGCAGTCCCAAGTGCAGCCATAGGGCATAGAAATATCGGTTTCCGAACAGCTAGCTACAAATTCAGTCTTACAAACCATTCTAGAGTTGGTAATTTGTTAGGCCATAGAACTAAGGGCTATTACTACCCTGACAATTAGAATTTTATCATAAAGGGTTTAATATGATAATGGCCAGATAAAGCAGTTAAGAAAAGGGTAGAGAGTCTTCCAGACATGGGTGTCTATAAGGTCCCTAGGTCTATATGTCCTATATGTCACCTTCCTGGGTTATGAATATGAACCCCAAATCTCCTATGAACTTCATTGTCCATGGTATTGTGAATTTCATTGCATAGGTGTGAAAAAATGTTAAAAGCATAACATGGGGCAATCTGTTGACTGAACTAAGACTGTACTTACAGGGCACTTTGTAGAATTATATAATTTCATTGCTTAAAAAGACAAAAGTTCAAAATCTCTTATCTATTTTTAACTTAAGAATGTAGGTGAAATTTAAGAGAATTGAACTAAAATAAGTTGAAGAGGAGGTAATAAATATTAAACCAAAAAGCACTGAAACAGAGCAAAGAAAAGCAATATCCCAAATTAATACAGAAAAAAACTGACATCATGAAAAGTAATGAAATTACTTGCAGGATCAAAAGAATGAAGAAATATACATGGAAGATGAATTATTATAATAGAGCATATGTATGTCAAAGGGGTATGAAATGGTATGCACAATTTATGCCAAAAATATTGATAATGGAAATAAAACTGCTTAACTCTTTGAGAAAGATATAAATTGGTAAATTAGACATAAAACAAAGCTACAAATTGAATATATTCATGTACTTACATTTTAGATGAATTTAAGATACAGTTCCAAATAAGAAAACCCAGGATTTATGCTAGTAAGATGGTCCAACAGTCAAGAGGACTGGCTGCTCTTCCAGAAGAAAAGGTCCTGGGTTCAATTCCCAGCACTCACATGGCTGCTCACAGCATCTGTGAACTTCAGTATTAGGGAATCTGATGGATCATTTCTGGCTTCTGAGGGCACCAAACACACATGTAGCATACACACATACATACAGGCAAAACATCTATACACAGAAAATCATGATAGAGGAAGAAAAGAAATTGGCAGCATATCTCTCATAAAACCAGGCAAAGATATTTCAAATAAAGGAAATTATAACCCATATCTGCCATGATTCTAGATGGGGAACTCTTAAAATATTAGCAAGTCAAATCCAATAATATTGTAAAAGAATACATAGCATGGCTTCAGCTTGCATGTCGAGCATTTTTTTAATTACACTGAACTATATTAAAAGAATAAACAGGAAAATCACATTGTCATGTCAATAGACCCACAGAATGCAATTAACAAAATCCAACATTTTGATACAGAAAATCCCACCAAAGTAGTTAGAAAATATTTCTTAGCCTAATAAAGGGTCAAAGGCTCATAACTAATACTTCAAGGTGAAATGCAGAACATTTTTATTCTTAGATCAGAGTATCAACTATATTTCTATTAAGTGTTTCATTTGATGTCCTAATCAGTACAAATGAGTTCTCAAAGGAAATAAAGAACAGAGTGGATAAAATGAAACTTGTGTTGTTGCAAAAACAGCAGAATCCACACATGGTTTTACAAGGTTGTAGAATCAATTGTAGTTCTCTACACAAGCAAGGAACAACTTGAAAATTAAGTTTAAAACATATTACTTATGAGAGTATAGAACAAACTACTAAGGAATACATTTAGCTAAATTCCTATAAAACCACCAAGAAAACAAGAAAGTATAGTAAGATAGATTTTCATTATATATACATATGTGTACATACATATATATATATACATATATATATTTAATGTATAAATGCACAAATAGTCCATGTTAATGAGTTCTGCAGTTCATTTTCTGTGGCTGTGACAAAAATACTGACCAAAAGCAGATTGGGGAGGAAGGAGTTTATTATATCTTACAAGTTACAGCATTATCATGGGAAGCCAGGGCAGAAACTGAAGCAGGATTACATAGGGACACTACTTGCTATCTTGCTTTCCATGGTTTGCTCAGCTTGCTTTTTTTAGACAACCCAGAACCACCTGCCTAGAGGTGACAGTACCCAAAATGGGCTGGGCCCTATCCTATCAATCATTAATTAAGAAATGGCTCCACAGTGTTGCCTACAGGCCAGTCTGATGGAGACATCTCAGTTGAGGTTTGCTCTTCCCAGATGACAGAAACTTGTGTCTAGTTGTCAAATGGTAGGCAGAACAATGGATTAGAAATATTACTAATATAGAGCTGCTTTCAAAATTGATTAATATGTCTGGGATTGTGTTGTAAAAAATATTAGCAGACATCTTGGTAGAAGCTAGAAATCTGATCTTACAATAGGAATGTAAATGCACAAGTCTAAGTAGCCATGGCAAGAGATGGAGCATCCACTGTCCCGTGTTACATAATTAGCATTTCATAATATAGAAATTACCAGTCTGTCACTGGCATGTAGACAGGGAAATAGACCAATGTAGTATGACAGTGATTACAGAAATAAGGCTAGAGAGATGTGTGTAGTCATGTTATTTTCTTCATAGACACCAAAGAAAATAAGTTGGGAAAGACTTTCCACAATGCAAATACAACAATTATAAATGGGGCAGTAAGCAAATTTGTCTTTTATTTTTTTCATAAGATTTATTTTCATTCTTATTTATGTGTATGCGTCTAGATCAGTGTGTGCCACATGTGTGTGGGTACCCTTCAAGGCCAGAGGCTGACTTCTGATGCCCTATCTTCAACTGTCATTATTGTTTTAGTTTAGATTTTTTTTTTTTGCTTTTCATTCTGTTTATGTTTGGTCTCACTCTGTTGCACCTTATAGCTGGGTACTTACTCTGCATCCCAGCCTGGCTTTGAATTTAGGGCATTTCCTCTGCTTCAGCCCCCAAGCGCTTGTTTTAAAGGCATGCACTACCACACCTGGCTCTTCAATTGGTGCTGAGCAAAATTAGAAGATGAAAAGAACAGTCAAAGAATGTTGTAACTATGAGACTTGTTAGG